TGCATCCCTTGCAATGGGATCCACACCAATCAATGGATCAGTCTGGTGGGTGAAAACAATTCATTGTACCGACCCAATGTGCATCCCTTGCAATGGGATCCACACCAATCAATGGATCAGTCTGGTGGGTGAAAACAATTCATTGTACCGACCCAATGTGCATCCCTTGCAATGGGATCCACACCAATCAATGGATCAGTCTGGTAGGTGAAAAATTGCTTCTGAAAACAATTCATTGTACCGACCCAATGTGCATCCCTTGCAATGATTGGCTTGAATTTTCCAACATCGTACTCTACCATTTCTAAAAAACAACTTTTTCTGACAGATATGTCTTTTACTTCTGCATGTTTCACACTTGTGTCCTGAAATGGGAACTTACTCTTCATATATTCCAATACAGTTTCATAGTAATTTCTTACATCTTCATAGAAAGAGAGCTGTCAAGCTTTGCAAGGAAAGTTCCAACTTCATAACCAATTACCAAGTTCTCATTCTTTTAACTAAAGTTTTCCGTGTCTGAAATTCAAATCCAAGATATTCGAGCAATTCAAAATTGCATGTGGTATCACAAGTCTGCTTAACAAATCTTTGAATAAAGCAAGCAGAATTCTCTGCAAGCAATGGATGAGTGAGTCCTCAGACTGGAGTTTCAAATAATATTTATCAGAGATTTGAATACAATTGTTCAGAAATTGTACATACGACACATCTCCTCGATGTAAGTAACTTGTAAAGTCTTTCCTCTCATAAATAAATGTTTCTCTGTGATTTGGTGTCAGAAGTATCCCATACTTTCTCACTTGCCTTTGCAATTTTGTCTGCCACTCTCTTAGAGGAACCATCCACGGAAGATTCAGATCCCTGCCCAAGAAACACACTGACAGACTACCTCTGCTTGGAAGTTGGAAGTTTTTTCTTTGCATTTTTCTAAAAAGTCACTCTCTTTCACCACTGATACCTTTAATCTACATGAAACAGACTTTACTTTCACATGGATTTTTTTGTTTTTCTTCATCTTTTTTCTTTTCATCATGTTTGGCTGCAAAGTATTGCTTCAAAGGTCTCCACTTCTCAAAAAACCTCTGTAAGCATTTTCCAAGAGACAGCCAGCATATGCACACACATGCTTCGGAATAGTCTGAGTTTCCACATCACATATCTTCTGGAATTCTCTAAGTTCTTCTTTCCTATTCACACTCTTGTCCAAATAGCAACAAATGTCAATAAGAATTTCATCAAACTAATATTGCAACTTCTTTGTTTCTGCTACCAAACGAAGAAGGTGACAAGCGCATCCCCTAATCACCAATTCAGGGTTAACATTCAGAAAATAACATGTAACTCCGTTTTTTTTCATCCCTATCATCATATTTGTGTTGTAAACAGCTAATTTTCCAACTTTAAGGACTTGCCATGTGATTTTTCATTTAAACTGGGATTAGAAAATAATGCATTTACTACCTTTTCCTTGTCATGGAAGTATGTCACTACAACAGAGTACAGTTTACTGTCAACGTCATTACTGCCATCAGCAGACAAGTTGAAAGCCCTAGTTTTAATGTTACACACAGTTCACTCAGTTTCACTGCTGGCCATTTCTACAACTATTGCAAAGATTTGGTTCTAGATCATCCGTTTTTTTTAGCAATTTCCGAATCTAGAAACATTTTGGTAAAAGTTTTTGAAGCATGGTCCAAAACTGTCAAAGGAAGAATGTGTTCCACAAGGAAAATAAACATTCCAATTTGGTCACATCTTCTGATTTGGTATCGGGTTTTATGTAAAATGAGTGTAGTTTATTAATTCCAGATGTCCTTGAACAATTTTGCTGGTGTTTAGTAGCGTCAAGATGTTATTTTCACCTCCGTGAACAATGGAGAAATCGCCAACACAAATTGTACATCTTGCACAATTCATACCCTTTAAGGATGATACAGTATCATTGAACTTTTTTATATACTTACGTCTAAACTTCTTTCTATAAACTTTTCTTTTCATCATTAGGGATGAACAGAACCATGTTTTTCCACCATTTTCCTCTCAAAAAATTATCAGCACACCCTAGATGTTTAATACTTGCATGCTTTTTTAATAGACTTTTTCAAGTGTTTGCAAGATTGAGATGAAAGGTGGAGAGTGAATTATTTCTGAGAAATTATTAAAAAAATGTTGGTAAAAATTTCCCATAAAATAACACAACAATTCATACAGGCATAAAAAAATAAAAATC